TCTACACCTTGTTATCTCAGATTCTCCAGCAGCGGCAGTTCCTACTATCTTAACTCTTATTTATTCCCCTTTCTACCATCAGAAACTACCAGTAGCCAGCACATTGATATGTTACTTTGCAAAGACAAAAAAAATTAACAACTTCAAGTACTCCTAATAACTACACAGTCCATAATGATCTATAATATATTAAAAACATGCTGCATATTTCATGTCAATATGAGTTACTTGCTGACATGTTCTAGCTACAGGTATTTCTGCCATAACACATGTTTCATTAACATGGATTGGCTATAACGTGATTGATAAATAGTGAATGCTGTTTGGATAACGTGAACTTTCTGCTGTACAGATATAGCGATTTTCTGCAACAATTTCCCTATAACGCCATTTTCTATAGCGCGGGGTCACACAAGAACACAAGTAATGTGTTATAGGAAAAATATCTGTACTTGTTTCTAGTCTGTGCTGCATCCGTTATGCGTAACCCTTTTTGTAAGAGTGGTCCACACTTGTACCTGTCATTGGGGGCTGAAGACTCCTACCTTCTGCTGAGCGAACCTACTCATTGCCACAACCATGCAGTGAGGACAGAATACTGCAGCCTAGTCTTCAATCACTTCAAAGCATATATTTATGGAGCCAACATTGCATATCATTCAACAAGTCCCTTTTAGACATGTTAGCTGAAATTAACATCCAATTGATATACAATTATACTCCATTGCCCTAGACTCTCCCAACTGAACAAGCTTTTCTTTGTCTCCCAATGAAACCTTTAAAACACTAAGTGTCAATCAAATATCAAGGCATGATTTATTTGCACACCAGTATGGGGCAAATGTGGTGCGATAAATGTCTGTGCTTTATACTCACAGGTTCCTTCATGCATTGCTTTATCATGAGCTGGAGCTCTAACCATGACTGTCTCAGAGTCCACTGGTCCAAATTCTAAAAACCAAGCGAAGGCAGGGAATCAAAGCAAATCCATAGTTAATCTCTTCATTCCGTTAAGGTGTTACGCACGTTTACACTACCCTCGAACATTGGGGAAACTAAAACTTACTAACCATGCTAAGTCATGCATTCCAACTCAGGGCTGCCAGACTTTAGTTTTCGTTTATATTGAGCTAATCATTCTCATGGGGTCATAACCAGCTCCAATGATCTTTCCATGATAAGGGGGCGTGTTAAATCATTGAGGAAACTTTGCAACAAATTGTGTTTTGTTCAAATGTGATTGCTTCTGTAAAATATTTGTCCCAACAGGTTAACAGTATTGAGGACGTACTGTTTTATAGCACTGGCAGACTGCATGAATCTTAGAATAACATAACCCAAAGGGTTTTGTTGGCAAAAAAAATGTTTAATTTTCCCAAATATTTACATTAAAAATATACAATATAATTATCTGGAATAATTCCAGATATAATAACGTCATTTTGAAGAACTCTGTTTGTTTAGCACCTTAGCAAAACTCCCAAAAAAGGTGAAGAAGCACATTACATAAAACAACATTGTTCGAAGAGTGCTTGACAGGCAGACACAGCGTTTCCACAAGCAAACATTAATGAACAGCTGATGTACTGGTTGAGGGAAAAATATTAACCCTGAATGGAGAGTTATCTGCTCTTTGAATTGCCTAACAAATTAGAATGACATTCAACGTCATATCCTATAGGAAAACCAGCAACATTCCTCTCCTTCAGTCTAAGTTGCATGGACCCAGGTAGGAGATGTTACCAAATCAACCAAAATTACATTTTATTTAAATCCTCATCATTTTCTTTGATGAGACTACAGCTATTGAGTCATAGCGTCATAGAGCTGTACAGCATGGAAACAGACCCTTTGGTCCAACTCACCCATGCCGACCAGATATCCTAAATAAATCTAGTCCCATTTGCCAGCATTTGGCCCATATCCCTCTAAACCCTTCCCATTCATATACCCATCCAGATGACTTTTAAATGCTATAATTGTATCAGCCTCCACCACTTCCTCTGGCAGCTCATTCCATACACACACCACCCTCTGCGCAAAAATGTTGCCCTTAGGTCCCTTTTAAATCTTTCCCCTCTCGCCTTAAACCTATGCCCTCCACTTTTGGACCCCGCCCCCTCCCCCACCTCCCAAACCTCAGGGAAAAGACTTTGTCTATTTGCCCTATCCATGCCCCTCTATGGATTGATTTAGCACAGTTTTAATGTCTATTATACAGACTTATAAAATGCACAATTCTATTTTTCCCTTAATGCCCATTTATGTTGTACATTGTGATCTGAACAAGTTCATTAAAAATAAAGGTAAACCCAGAGGTAAACTACATACAACATCTTCACTCCTAATACCTGAAGGATGTGCTTGATGTGCTGACGCTGAGGATTGTCTCCTTCCACACATTCTTTAAGGCCATGTGGATAACAGATAAGCTGTAGAAGTTGTCGTGCCTGTTTGTTTGAGAGTACTGGGTCGAGTATTAGATCCTTATCTGTACACAGTCTCTCAGGCTCCTTTAAGCAATGTTCCCCCACCCATTCCTGCCAAGAGTGAAGTGGAAAGCAGAATGTCATTTTGAAACACAAATAACATTGACTGGTAAAGAACGAGAACACAAGTCAAACACATGTCCTCCATTATATAGGAAAACAAATCAGCTCCTCTCGATATATATATTTATGCACAGTCATCTTTCACTGTGATCTGCAGTATCACAGCATTCCCTTGCTGCATAGTCAGGTGCTTGCACAATTGTAACACTAAATTCTGATTAACACTATATATTACATTTAGAGATGGTGCCTTTTACTAATAAAATAGCCCAAGACATTCATGGAGCCACTATCAGATAAAATTTGACATTCAAGGAGATATGAGCATGGTGACATCAGCTTATTCAAAGAGCCATCTTTAAGCATCATCTCCAAAAGGAGGAGTGAGGGATCGAAAGGGAATTCTAGACAGAGACTAATGACTATGGCCACCAACAGTTTAAAGAATGGAGTTGGTGGCTCAAACAGACTAGGAATGGAAGATTGTAGACTTGTAAGAGGTTTGCAGCGATGGAGGAGATTACACAACGAGCATGGTTGATATGATGGAGTGATTTGAACACCGCACTGAGAATCTTACATTTGAGGTATTGCTGCACTAGACAGCTACCCACTCTGTTTAGTTTAATCATGATTTTGATCTTATGATCAATTTCTTAACTTCCATTTCCTGGAAGTGATCAGAATGGTTCTGCAAATTTCCGCTGCTATGGTTAATCTCCTACACAGACCACAGGAAGACTAAATTATGCAGGTTAGCTCTTTGTTAATTCAAACAACCTCAGAGAGACAACTCGTCTTAGACTGACTAAACAGAGCTTTAACTTATACTCTGCCCAGTTCTGTTCCATTTCTATCCAGCTTATACACAAAATCATCAACCTTTACATACCTAGAGATCATGAATTCAAACACTGTTTATATTTCATTCTTGAATATCCTTGGCCTTTCTCTTATGCTGCCTACAGGAATCTGTGGGTATTCTCTAATCTGCTTTCAAAGCTGAGACCTTAGGGTGTACAAGGCTCCTCTCTTGCCATTTCTGCTGATTTGAACACTTACTGTGATCAAGGGCCATGCCTAATACAATGTGCCTAAAAGTACGAGCTTGTCTTCCCTCTGTTGGAACCGCTTTTTATAAAATCTTATTTAATTTCCATGATTTTACTACTTTCCCCAAAGTGACCACTCTCAAAGTGAGGACTTTGAAGAGTAAATTGCAGGAGGATATTTAACCAAAGAGATCTCATTGCCAATCCAATCTATTCCTCATATTCCTCCCCCAAGCCACTCCCTTTGGGCACGTTCCAGCAGGGATTGATAGTGATGCCATGGTGCATAGTAAGCTGTTCTCCAGCGCTAGGGATAGAGATGTTAGAGGCTCCAACCTTCTTTCCATGACATGGCTGACCAGAAAGTCTCTCTCCTTCTTACTGCTTATTCCTAGTGTATGTTAGAGGGACTTAAAAATTGATGAGCCTATCATCAATTGTCATAAAAGCCTATCTGCTTTACTGAATCCTTTGAGGGCTGGGGAGAGATCTGCCATTCTTACTCGGTCTGGTCGAAACGGTCTCCACAGACCCAAAGCAATGTGGTTGACTCATAATTGGCCTTTAAGGCCCAGGATAAGTCATTGTCAGGAATGTGGTCCATCACCACCTTTTCTAGGGAAACTGGGAATGGGGAATAAATAGTGGCCTAGTCAGAGATCTGCACATCTTACGAATGAACAATTAATTTTACATAATCCCTTTGTCATCAAGAAATGCCCAGAGTTGCTTCATAGGAGCATTATCAAACAAAGTATGACACTGAGCAACATCAATACAAGGTGCGAGGACCAAAAACGAGGTCGAAGAGGTAGGTGGAGCAATTAAATATATAGATGCATAAAAACCAGAAGTAGGTGAGTGTATATACAGAAACATTAAGAATAGCAGCAGGAGTAGGCCATTTGGCCCAACAAGTCTGTTCCACCATTCAACAAGATCATGGCTGATCATCCAACTTAGTGCCCTGTTCCCGCCTTCTCCCCATTGCCTTTTCTTTATTCATTCACAGGATGAGGGCATCACGGCCTAGGCAGCATTTATTGCTCTTCCCTAATTGCCCAGAGGGCAGTTAAGAGTCAACCACATTGCTGTGGGTCTGGAGTCACATGTGGTCCAGACCAGGTAAGGATGGCAGTTTACTTCCCTAAAGGATGTTAGTGAAACAGATGGTTTTTCCGACAATCGACAATGGATTCATGATCATCATTAGATTCTTAATTCCAGGTATTTTATTGAATTCGAATTTGACCATCTGCTGTGGTGGGATTTGAACCCGGGTCCCCGGAACGTTATCTGGGTCTCTGGATTATCAGTCTAGTGATAATACCACTAGGCCATCGCCTCCCTTAACCCCTTCTTGGCAACTGGAGGAGATTATAGAGAAACATACAGGTTTATGGTCGTAGAGGGACTTGAAACAAGATGGAGAATTTTGAAGTCAGGACACTGCTTGACCCAGAGTGAATGCAGGTCAGCCAGCACAGGAGTGATAGGGGAACAGCACTCGGCATCAGTGACACAAGCTGCAGAGTTTCAGATGGCTCCAAGTCTAGCTGGAATGAACAAAACAAAAAAAAAAATTAACTGACTGAACCCCATGTCTGCCATGGTGGGATTTGAACTGATGTCTGCAGACTATGTCCTCTAACATTGTACTGTGCCCACTCAAAGGTACATCAATTCTCAATGAAGGGAAGACAGTGAAAATAATTTCCTTTTAAGGAACTGCTTACTCGAAAAAATGGATCTGGGAACATTTCCAAAAAGATTAGGGTTTTGGTGAGCAAAGATCCCAGTAGTCAGGAGTCTGTGGGAAGACAGGAATGGGAATGCAAGCAAATCCGGTCTCTAGCCTGATATTAGATCAACCAAAACAAGCAGCCTTCTAAACCAAATTATACTCGTGGCCTCAGCATGGGTTGCTGTGGGGGGAATGTCAGACACATCTCCGAAGTGGGACAATGAAAGGGCAGTGTGATTGTGGGAGGTAATGGATGAGGCTCATTTCTAAGCTCCTGGAAATAAGGCCCAGCTTTCTGCCCTGCCCTCCAAATCCCACCCTCCTTCCTCCATGCGGGATCCACCGAGAGACAATGTGCACACAGAAAACAAATCAAGACTTGAAGCTACATATAGAAAATTAGGCCAAGGAAAGTTGTAGAGTTAGTTCAGCAAGCAATAAAAAAAATTCAAGCCACAATTACAAAAGAAAATTGGCATAGCATTCCTGACACACTTCAGCACACACACTGCGCAAAGTCCTACAAGTGGCTTATATGTGGAGTGACAATATTTCTGCAGTGTTAATTTATACATGCAGCCAAAACAACCTGAATAAATTCACTCAAGTTGAAGTGCTGATCAATCGTGATCCAACTATAGGCACAAGATGCTGAATGGCCTACAGCCGTTGCTCATGTTCATGGGGTACACAAAATAGCAAATACAGCACGGTGGTTCAGTGGTTAGCACTGCTGCCTCACAGCACCAGGGACCCAGGTTGGATTCCACCCTCAGGCCACTGTCTGTGTGGAGTTTGCACATTCTCCCCATGTCTGCATGGGTTTCCTCTGGGTGCTCCAGTTTTTTTTTCCTTTATTCATTAATGGGATGAGGGCATCGCTGGCTAGGCAGTATTTATTGCCCATCCATCCATCAACCATATTGCTTTGGGTCTGGAGTCACATGTAGGCCAGACCAGGTGAGGATGGCAGTTTTCTTCCCTAAATGGCTTTAGTGAACCAGATGGGCTTTTTCCCCCGTGACAGTCAACAACGGATTCATGGTCATCATTATATTCTTAATTCCAGATATTTTATTGAATTCAAATTCCACATGGCGGGATTTGAACCTGGGCCCCCAGAACATTATCTGGGTCACTGGATTAACAGTCCAGCGATAATACCACTAGGCCACTGCCTCATCAGTCCAAAGGTGTGCTGGCAAGGTGGACTTGCCATGGGAAGTACAGGTTTGTAGGGATAGGGTAGAGGGGGTGGATCTGAGTGGGATGCTCTTCAGAGGTTCGATGTGGATTTGATGGGCTGAATGGTCTGTTTCTACATTATAGCGACTCTATGATCTTGGTGCTGGGCACTAGGCGTTAAACTGCTAATTACTGGGTATCTGCCAAGAGTTGATAAATTGAATCTATTAATTGGCACATGTAACCACAGTGGCTATTTCAGTCTATATTTTATATGTCAGACGTGCTCCTTAATTCATCAGCCTAAGTGTAAAACAATGAGTACATCAGGACCATACCTGGCATTCTTAGCAGTAGATTATGAAATTGTCTCTTCTGGAATGTGAACCCCCAACAATACACCCCAGACACTCCCCTCACAATCAGCACCATACCATCTCCTGTTATCCTCTTTAAATGACAGGCACTAGACATGAGAATGAGGCCAACTCATTTAAAAATTACACCAGTTTTTGAAATTAAAATGAGTCAAGAAAATGAGGGACACAAAGCAAGTCAAAAGAACACAGAGAATGTTTGCTTGGCTGCCATTCCCGTTCCAGTCTTTTGCAATTAGCAAGTTACATCTGATGGGCAGAAGAGAACATAACGAATTATATCATTAAAACTATTGAGAGATGAAAGAAAATAGATGAAATTTCATCCCCAACAGCGCAGAAGAAGTACCTTCACCACAGGGACTACAACAATTCAGGGATGCTCACCACCAAATTATCGAGAGTAACTAGAGATGGTCAATAAAGCCTGCACTTTGTAGTGACACCTATATTGCAAGAATGAACAAAATATACAAGCTTTGACAAAAAGACAGTATGATATCAAATACCTTTCTCAGGAGAGGTAACAGCCTAGTGGTATTACTGCTAGACTTGGCTAAAGTTTGGGGACGCCAGGTTCAAATCCTGCCATAGCAAATGGCGGAATTTGAATTCAATAAAGAATCTGAAGTTAAGAGTCTCAGGATGCCCACTGTCGATTGTCAGAAAAAAACAGTCTGGTTCGCTACCGTACTTTAGGGAGGGAAATCTGCCATCCTTATCGCGTCTGGCCTACATGTGACTCCAGACCCACAGCAATGTGGCTGACTTTTACCTGCCTGCTGGGCAATAAACGCTGGCCTGGCCAGTCAAGCCCACATCCTGGGAGTGAATAAAAAATTCTGCAAGAAAAACTTTGGGCTTTTTAACTGCAGTGGAGGGGAACTTTGCCTTGCTTCATTTCAGAGGAATCCATCGCTTGTGATGTACAATGTATACATTGAAATGTAATTTCTATAGCAGGTAATCTTTGTGGTTTTGCAATTATTAATCTTGAAACCCACACTGCAAGGCATTCAAACTTTAGGTGCAATTTTATATTTATTACCACAAAAATTCTTCAATGTTATTGCAGCATTTTATTAATTACTTAAACAAGGTTTTATTGCTTGTACAATAAAGTCTTTTCTCTGCCAATTCTCACCTGTTGGCAAATGGTCCTGAGCACAAACCTGGCATATTCACTCAGGTTGGCCGTTTCTATGGAAACAGCTCGTCGGATTGACTTGGGGTTTTTGGTGGAACTCAGAACGTCATCATCAGTGATGTCATCGAGGATACTGATGGGGGCCAACAGACTGGTCACTGTGAAGTCATCGGTGTTGGAAGAATTAACATTATTGCTGCCTAATTCAGCATCACCTAGACATGAACACAACACAGTCAACTTGCGCTACAACCTTTAGACCGAGTGAGAACCTCTTCTGTCTTAATCTTTCACTAGAAGTGCTGGCTGACACAGGTCAATCAGACTCTGGTATCTCACTCCAACAGCCACTTTGCACACAGGGTGTGTGGGCAGAATATTAAACCATGGGGCAATGATTTAAAGCAGGAACTCCTTGATTCGTGACTCCTTCAATATAAGGGTAATGAAGACTCCTGTAAGTTTTAACTGCTGATCCAGACAAGGCAAGGGGGTGTGTGTGTGTGTGTGTGTGTGTGTGTGTGTGTGTGTGTGTGTGTGTGTGTACTAAATTGTTCTAATAGGCTTAAATTGTTGTGGTGCAGTGGTAGTATCCCTACATCTGAACCAGGAGGCCTGGGTTCAAGTCAAGTTCAAAAGGACATGGGTGAAAAGTGGGTTTGACGATCAGCCATTATCATATTCAATCATGGACCAGGTTCAAAGGGCCGAACGGCCTACACCTGATTCGGTTTTCTAAGCTACTAAATCAAGTTCACTAACTAAGGCTATGGCACCATGTTAGCCATGTTAGTCAATTCGGCACAAACCTGTTGCAGTCTTTAGCTTTACAATCTCCTAAGCTGAAAACACTGTTTCCCATTTCAGGTATCTTACCTAGCATTAGAATCGCTTTCAGAACTGCAAACACAGCCCCCACTTCTATACTATTGTGTGCTGCAGCTAAAAGATGGCGGTCACAGGATGAGCGGATTCCAGGAGCCGATTTACCTGCAAAGCCAAAATTAAAAGACTGTAATTGCACAATTCCAGTTACATTGAAGTGACATTTAAATGGTGCTCTGATAGTACGGAGGTGCTTTAACATATCATAGAAACTTAGATTGAGGGGGCAGTGGCAGCGTCCCTACATCTGGAGCAGGTGGGACTTGAATCCAACCATGTAATAACATCTCTGAATAGGTTGGTTAGAAAATCTATATTGAGGTAAATAGAAACATTCTAAAGTCTAGGAGTATTAAGCTCACTGATACTATGTTCACCTCTTGGCCGTTCAGGACTTTGTTTTATTGGATATAAGTATTGTTAGTCAGGCCAGCATTTGTTGCATTCCTTAATCACCCAGGGGTAATTAAGAGCAAATCACATACCTATCATGTTATTCCAGCTGTTTGGGTGGTTTCCAGCACGACCTCATTTTTAACATTTTGTAATTATCTTTCTGCTTCGGTTAATCGGATTATAGGTCATCCCTTCACTTGCTATTCAGCTGAAGACACTTTACTCACACCATCTGACACTTTTGATCACCTGCACAGACTTATCTTTCAGCCTGGCAACACTCCACTCACACCATTTGTATGATCTTTTGAGCTCTCTGCCTGTTGATCTCTCTACTTATAAATTCTGTGTCTGTGCGCTTTTCTTCACTTCATCTGATGAAGGAGCAGTGCTTCGAAAGCTTGTGATTTCAACCAAACTTGTTGGACTATAACCTGGTGTCATGTGACCTCTGATCTTGTCCACCCCAGTCCAACATGGGCACCTCCACATGGGGTCGTAAGACAAAGGGGAGGTCACATTCAGCCCTTCAATTCTCCTCCACCAGTCAATGAGATCATGACTGGTCCTCAACTCCACTTCTTTGCCTTTTTCCCATAACCCTTGATTCTCTTAATGATTAGAAATCTCTCCGTCTCAGCCGTGAATATACTTGACCACCCAGCCTCGACAGCTCTTTGCAGTAAAGAATTTCACAGATTTGCTACCCTGAGAAGAAATTTCTTCTCATCTCTGTCTTAAATGGGCAAGCCTTATTCTGAGATTATGTCCTCTGGTCCCAGACTTTCCCACCAGGGGAAACTAACTTTCTACATCTACACTGTCAAAGTTGTCCACCTGGAATCACAAGCAGGGTGAACAGCAGATCTCCTATCCTAAAGGACATTGCCAACTAAATTTTGGTTCCCCAATCGACAGCAGTTGCACAGTCACCAGTGAAGCCGCCTTTTATTTCCAGGCGTTTTTTTACTGAACTCAAAATTTGCCATGGTGGAATTTGAACCCATGTCCCTAGAACTTTAGCCTGGGGTGTCAGGGTTGCTAGTCTAATGACATGACCACTATGCCACTTCACCCTGCACTGTGTGAGAGGCTGGTGAAAGGAAATTGGATAAATGTTTGATGGGGAAATTTGCAGGGGTGACGGAAAGATAAGGTAAATGGAACTAATAGGATAACACTTTCAAACAGCCAGTACCCAGGGGATGAATTGCAAATCTTAATAACACTGCTGTGAGGATGATACATCCTTTTATAGAGTTGTACAGCACGGAAACAGACCCTTTGGTCCAATTCATCTGTGCCAACTAGATATCCTAAATTAATCTAGTTTCATTTTACCAGCATTTGGTCATTATCCTTCTAAACCCTTCCTATTCACATACCCATCCAGATGCCTTTTAAATGTTGTAATCTGTACTAGCCTCCAACACTTCCTCTGGCAGCTAATTCCATACACGCACCACCCTTTGTGCGAAAATGTTGCCCCTTAGGTCCCTTTAAAGTTTTCCCCTCTCACCTCAAACCTATTCCCTCTAGTTTTGGGCTCCTCAATGCTGTGAATAGGCTATTCACCCTATCCATGCCCCTCATGATTTTATAAAGCTTTATTAGGTCACCACTCAGCCTCCGACACTCCAGGGAAAATAGCCCCAGCCTATTCAGCCTCTCCCCATAGCTCAAACGCACCAACCCTGGCAACATCTTTGTAAAAGTTTTTTGCACCCTTTCCAAGCTTCACAACATCCTTCCTACAGCAGTGAAAGAAAGGAAGGGAGAGGGGTTTAATCACAATGAAGTATTCGGGTATGTCTTTTAGTGGAGGCATGTTGACAGAAGCTGGGTAGAATAATCTGTCCTTTTTCTTAGAATATTGTGAAGAGCTGTGCATTAAAAAAAAAGACACTGTCTGCATTTGCTAAAAAGGGCACAATCAACACGTGCTGTGACATCAGTGCCAGAAATGTCACAGGTAGCTGCCTGCATGACTTCACCTGACAAAGGAGCAACGCTCCGAAAGCTTGGGATTTCAGATAAACTTTTTGGACTATGACCTGGAGTTGTGAGACTTCTGGCCTGCATCAAAGTGCAATATTACAGAGCCCCCGAACCCAGCTTCACTCCGAACCCCTCATTACTACCTACCCCACCGCTCTGCTCACCTCCCATCTATCCTACTATCCTACTCCTCACTCCGGGTCCTCCACGCCTCACTTGTCACAGGATAATGACTGAGGGAGGGCAATGACGGGCACACAATGACATTGTCAGCAGAACCAGTGACACTGATTTCCTTTTCTCATGTGGCGACTATAAAATCAGTTTACAGAGTATTAGCAACTTTAACACTAAGGAAATTACATTAATCTATCTCCTCTCCATCCCCTCCCCTATCTCTCACTTTTCCAAAGAATGAAAACATGAACATAGTTTACACGGAGGTTTGATTCTGTGGCATTTTCTTTTAATGTCTAGGATCAATGGGCAACGGGCAACGTTGAATTAAAAAGCAAGGTTGTCCACAGGGACCACTCTGAAATGTTCATTCACGTAGACAGACTTTGCTGATGTAGACTATCCAACTGTGAAGTTGGTCAATGGGCAAACCCACTTAGTAACTCGGATGAAGACAGCTTTACCCTCATAACAAAACTTAAAAAGCAGAACTGGGCAGTCAGCGGAAACTTACCATTAGTCTGAGGGAAAGGGCTGACTTGTGGTGTCCTGAACAAATGCAGCAAAAGTCTGCATGTCATCCTGGCCCCTGGCTCCGCATCTGGATCACCACATGCTGCAGGAAACATAGACTCAAAGAGGTTATAAATATCTCACAGAAAAAATAAATCAGCTAAAGACAGTAGTTTCCCCTCTACCTCTCTTCCACAAACCTCCAGAGTTGGAAAATATTTCTTTGAATTCAATTGGAGAGAGTAAGATAGAGAGAAGCTGTTCCCACTCAAAGGATAAAAAGAACGAGAGCGAGTGAACACAGTCAGTAGTTATAGTATGGAAAACACTGCCTTGAAATGTGGTGGAGGCAGGTTCAATTGAGGCTTTCAAGATGGTCATTTGGAGAGAAATGGTGTGCAACAATGCGGGGAAAAGACAGAAGATTGGCACTGAGTAACCATGCTTGTTTGATGAGCCAGTGCAGGCGCAATGGACTGAATGGCCTCCTTCTGCATGGTAACAATTCTGTGATTCTTCGAATTTCACCTAAAAACTAAAAAGACTTCAAAATTTCCTATGGTCAAGGTAGCTTGTGGCGACAACGCATAAAAGGACATTAATATTCAACAAGATTGCTCTCTGTTAGGAGCTCAAACAGAATAACATTTCACAAAAATTTCACAAAAAATTTCTTTATTTCCCTTTTGGTTTGGTTAATGAGATATCAAATGACAGCCTGGCTCAGTTGATTCAGACAATTATAGATTGCTCAATTGTCACTGCAGACCAGTAATGACAGCACTGTTTAGTCAGAGATGGTAGCCTCTGAACAAGACAGGCTGGAAAGGCTGGTATGACTATTCCAATATCAAATGGGCTGTAAAAATCCCATAGAGCAGTACGGCATTCTCCCAACCAGTAAAACTATCCTTCAAACGCTTCACTGCTGTCTGAGGGATCTTCCTGTGCATAAACAATGAATTGTGGATGCTGCAACAGCATAGCTGTTTGTATCTGCATATGAACACTACCACATGCTTCACATGGTTTGCACCAGTCTTTTATGTATTTGAGGAGTAACCAGTTACACCAGATGCATGTAATATTAGGAAGAGATAGAAAGTCTATATGGGTAATAACTAGACCACACAATGGGAAGGCCATGAAGGTCTCCCTTGGCGGGAAACAGGAACCTGCTACAGGGATTCCATGCAGGAGTTAATGGTGGGACTGAATGTGAAGAAATCCTTGCGAACAATTCCAGATTGAGCAAGTTTTTAAACAATAACTTAACTCTTGTCATGGCTTATTCCAGTTTTGCCCTTGGATACCTGTTTAAGATTGGGAAAAAAACTTTATCCTTAATATTTCTGTTAAACACCTTCAAGTACAAGGAATTACTCTGAAACATTTCTGAAGAAGGGTCCCGACCCAAAACGTCAACTTTCCTGCTCCTCTGATGCTGCCTGGCCTGCTGTGTCCTCCAGCTCCACACTGTATTCCTCTGAAATGTGTTATGTTAGTAAAACCAAATTCATTGTTTATGCACAGGAAGATCCCTCAGACAGCAGTGAAGCGTTTGAAGGATAGTTTTACTGGTTGGGAGAATACCGTACTGCCCTATGGGATTTTTACAGCCCATTTGATATTGGAATAGTCATACCAGCCTTTCCAGCCTGTCTTGTTCAAAGGCTACGATCTCTGACTAAACAGTGCTGTCATTACTGGTCTGCAGTGACAATTGAGCAATCTATAATTGTCTGAATCAACTGAGCCAGGCTGTCATTTGATATCTCATTAACCAAACCAAAAGGGAAGTAAAGAAATTTTTTGTGAAATTTTTGTGAAATGTTATTCTGTTTGAGCTCCTAACAGAGAGCAATCTTGTTGAATATTAATGTCCTTTTATGCGTTGTCGCCACAAGCTACCTTGACCATAGGAAATTTTGAAGCCCTTTTAGTCCTTGCAATCATTCCAGGCAGTTTCACCCCCTCCATCTTATCCAGAGGAATATACCAGATACATCTGATCATACACTTGCAATGTTCCTCATTATCAGATTTCAACTTGCCCTGTCTGTCACTTTTTCCTGATGCTGTGATTTAATTCCAAAGTGTGCAGCAGGTTTTATTGTTAATTACCCAATACCTCTAAAAGGTCCCCTCTTATCTGGTTCCTTTCCAATTTAAGGACTGCAGGTATTTTTTTTTTCTTACTAACCCTCATAACTTAGTTGCGTGACAAACCACAGCACCTCAATGCTTGGACGTTTCCATTCCCTTGATGGCTGGAAAAGAACATGAATGTTCAAAGTGCATCAGACGATGGCACTTTCTGGCTTTAGAATGGCAGTTTCAGCTTTTAAAACAACAAGAGTTAGTAACATCTCTCCAGAGTCTGTATGAAGTCAAACAGCCTGGCAGCGCTGAAATTAGAGTTTGCATTGTGGGGAGGTACAGCTGGGTAGCATCAGGGGCTGAAAGTAGAGAAGCAAGGGTAGGAGGAGGAGGCTCTGAAGTGGAGGTGGCCTTTGGGGACCTCCATTCATGTTGGCCTTCAGATTTGTTAGGTTGAAGAGAGGATGCAGCATCACTGAACGTCAAGGGCAGGTGATTAGATTGTCTCTTATTGGCGATGGTCATAGCCTGGCATTTGTGTGGCGTGCATGTAACTTGCTGCTTGTCAGCCCAAGCCTGGAATTCATCCAGATCTTGTTGCATTTGAACGTGGTTGGTTTCAGTATCTGGGGAATTGTGAAATAGGACTGAACATTGTACAATCATCGGCAAACATCCCCACTTCTGACCTTATGATGAGGGAACGTCACTGATGAAGCAGTTGAAGATGGTTGGGCCAAAGACACTACCCTGAGGAACTCCTGCGCAGACATTCTGGAACAAAGGTGACTGACCTCCAACAATCACAGCCATCTTCCTATGTGCTAGGTATGACTCGAATCACTGACGAGTTTGGCTCAATTCCTACTGATTTGAGCTTTCATTGGGCTCCTCGATGCTACCCTTGGTTGAATGCAGCCTTGATAGCAAGAGCAGTCGCTTTCACCTCAACACTGGAATTCAGCTCTTTTGTCCATGCTTATACTAAGAATGTAATGAGGCCAGCAATTGAATGGCCCCGGCGGGACCCCAACTGGGCGTGAGTTTGGAGGTTATTGCTGAGCAGGTGCAGGCTGACAACACTGTTGAAGGCACCTTTCATCAATTTACTGATGATCGAGGAGGCTGATCGAGCGAAAATTGGCCGTTTGGATTTGTCCTGCTTTTTGTGTACAGGACGTAGCTGGGTCATTTTCCACATTGTTGAGGTGATGCTAGTGTCGTAACTGCACTGGATAGGCTTGGCTTGGGCTGTTGCGAATTCTGGTGCACGTCTTCAGTACTATTGCTGGAATGTTGTCAGGGCTCAGTCTTTCAGAATCCAATGCCTCCAACTGTTTCTTGATAATGCATGGAGTGAATTGAATGGGCTGATGACTGGGACCTGTGGTGCCGAGATGGATTGTGCACTCAGCACCTCTGGCTGAAGACTGCTGCAAATGCTTCAGCCTTATCTTTCGCATTGGTCTGATAGGCTGTTCTATCACTGAGGATGGGGTTATTTGTTAAGCCTCCTCCTCCAGTGAGTTATTTAACTGCCCACCATCATTCACATCTTGATGTGGTAGATCTGTTGGTTGTTGGGTCACTTAGTTCTGTCTATCACTTGCTGCTTACCACCTAAGTAGTCCTGTTTGGTGGCTTCACCAGGTGGACACCTCATTTTTAGCTATGCCTGGTGCTGCTCCTGGCATGCCCTCCTGCAGTTTCCATTGAACCAGAGTTGTTCCCCTGGCTTCATGGTGTTGAGTGAGTGGAGGATATGCTGGGTCACAAGGTTACAGCTTGTGCTGGAATACAATTCTGCCGTTGTTGATGGTCCACAGTGCCTCATGGATGTCCAGTCTTGAGTTGCTAGATCTGTTCGAAGTCTGTCCTGTTTAGCAAGGTGATAGTGCCACACAACACAGTGGAGGGTATTCTCAATGTGAAGGCGGGACTTTGTCTCCACAAAGACTGTGCGATGGTTGCCCTAACCGATACTGTCATGGACAGATGCATATGCAGCTAGCAGACTGGTAAGGAAGAGGTCAAGTATGTTTTACCCGCTTGTTGGTTCCCTTACCACCTGCTGCAGACCCACTCTAACAGCTATGTCCTTTAGGACCCAACCAGCTCATTCAGTGCTGCTGCTGAGCCACTCTTGGTGACCGACATTGAAATCCCCCACTCAGAGAATATTTTGCACCCTTACCTCCCTCCAAGTGCTGTTCAATATGGAGGAGTGCTGCTGAAGGAGGATGGTACATGCTAATCGGCAGGAGGTTTCCTCGCCCATGTTTATTGGAGCTGAGGTCAATGACGGGGACTGCCAGAACAACTCCCTCTCAACTGTATACCACTGTGCTGCCACCTCTGCTGGGTCTGTCATGTTGTTGGGACAGGACATAACCAGGGATTGTGGTGGTGGTGTCTGGGGCTTTGTCTGTAAGATATGATTATATCAGGCTGTTGCTTGACTGGCCTGTGAGACAGCTCTCCCAATTTTGGCACTAACCTCCAGATATTAGTAAGGAAGACTTTGCAGGATTGTTAGGAATGTGTTCACCATTTCCATTTCTGGTGCCTAGGTCGATGCCAGGTGGTCCATCCATTTTCATTTATTTGTTGAGTTCCCCACTTTGCTGGGTGAAAAACATCATGAAATTGAAATCCACTCACTCACCTGCTGCTAGAAGCGAGGGAAGCGCCACATGCTGAACCACGTCCTCCAGTGAGAAACACTGCCGTGCAATTAGAATGGCAATAAATGTAGCCAAAGAATCATGAAACGAAAGGTCACTCACCTACAGACAAATCAAAGTCAACAGCAACCAGTGACTTGAGAAAATAATGACACTGTAAATGATAGATGAAGATTAGGTAAAGATTTCCACAACAGTTATCTATGGTGGGTAGCAGGATAAACATGGAGAGAAGAATTGGAAGACTATTATTATTTACTCAATAGGCCATGTCTAATATCTCATATTAGACATATGGGAGGCGATGGCCTAGTGGTATTATCACTGGACTGTTAATACAGAGACCCAGATAACATTCTGGGGACCTGGGTTTGAATCCCACCACGGCACATGGTGGAATTTGACTTCAATAAGTATCTGGAATTCAGAGTCTAACAATGACCGTGAATCCATTGTCGATTGTCGGGAAAAATCTATCTAGTTCACTATTGTCCTTTAGGGAAGGAAACTGCCATCCTTACCTGGTCTGGCCTAGATGTGACTCCAGAACCACAGCAATGTGAGTGACTCTCAACTGCCTCTGGGCAATTAGGGATGGGCAATAAATGCTGCCTAGCGAGTGACGCCCTCATCCCATTAACGAATAAAGAAAAAAAAAATATTATGCTAGTCTGACAGTGCTCACAAGGCACTGAATCCTCAACCTCCAATCACACTGATGTCAATCACAAGGTCCGGCACAGGGTATAAACCTCTCTCCTGATTTTCCTGACTTCTCTATTTGACATTCAGGGGAGCCTGGTGGTATTATTTGGGTTCAAATCCCACTACGGCAGATAGTGCAATTTAAATTCAATAAAATAATCTGGAATTAAGAGTCTAATGATGACCGTGAATCCATTATTGGTTGTCGCGAAAAACACATCTGGTTCACTAATGTCCTCTAGGGAAGAAAACTGTCATCCTTAATAAAAACCTAAAGGACTGCAGTTGCTGTAAATCAGGAACAAACACAGAAGTTGCTGGAAAAGATCAGCAGGTCCAGCAGCATCTGTGAAGAAAAAAAAAAATCACAGTTAACATTTTGGGTCCGGTGACCCTTCCTCAGAACTGTTCCCGAAACGTTAACTCTGATATTTTCTTCACAGATGCTGCTGGACCTGCTGAGTTTTTCCAGCAACTTCTGTTTTTGAAACTGTCATCCTTACCTGGTCTGGCCAACATGTGGCTCCAGACCCACAGTGATGTGGGTGACACTTAACTGCCCTCTGGGCAATTAGGGATGGATAATAAACACTGTCTAGCCAGCAATGCCAATGAATGAATAAAAGAGAACTTTCTCACAGCACAACTTCAAGGAGGAAGAACTGTGTATGAACAGCAAGAACCATCAAACCTCATTCATTAGTTCATGCAACATCTATTTCTGAACCCAAGTAAAATGTTTGAAGGTACAAATGCCCACATTTACATTTTATGTAAAATCTTATGAGTGAATTTGGTTTTAAAAAGAAATTAGGAGACGTGACCACTGCTGGGAGGACCTTTTCCCCACACGAGAGCTGAAATAAGTAGAAATGAACAATAGTCGAGACTCAATCTCATGACCCTTGTTTTAAAAGCTAGTTCCAGTATCTCAGGGTAATTTCCTACTGCTGAAATATGTTGAGTGAAAATAAAACCAGAGAGTGTAAGCTGTATTGCCTTTTCTTCAACCTCACCTGTGAAGAAAATGTAGTCTTTGTGAATTGTTGAGTTTATATTTCAAAAAAAAAAATCAGCATTCCTGCTGATCATAAAATTAATTCCATTGTATTAAATGCGAATAATGTTTTTGAAGGAATCACTGAAGTAAATGGCCAAATTACTTGTGGAGAGTATATAGCTCCTGGTTTAGCTGTCTTGTATATTGTGCGCTAATTCAGCTGCCTCAGACCAACTGGACTATGAGGATGTGCTGTAAGGATGTAATCAAAAAACAGATGTGAACTTACATCTACACTGCAGAGCAGATCGTTGAATCCCCAGACATGGTTTGAGGAGCAGCAAAGAGCTTTAAGAACACCAAGCCATTCAGAACTTAACACAGTGCAGCATGCGGTCAGCTCAGCACAGAGATTAGCTATGTCGTTGATTCTGTAAAACGAAAATAGCAAAGACCCAGAAAAAGTATATTAGAAACATACATTTTGATTATGACAGGGAATAATTTCTTCTTTAAAATATTGAAGTAACTTTGTTTTCATGTTAAGTACTACAGAAATGATCAACATCTCAACCATAGGATGATTCAAGGGTGTCACTATAATTACTGCTGTAGAGCTGATTACTGATTGCAATGAGTATGACTCGTTCGAGTACAGATTGTCTCATTCTCATATTTCAGCTTCACATTTTAAAAAAGTTTATTATTTCTGATGGTGTACATATTCTGCCATATTGTTCTTATGTGTATCAGCACAGCTTCAGGGACGAAGAACTTCAGTTACTTGGAAAGACTGGGAAAGCCGAGATCGTTCTTCTGAAAACAAAGACGTTTCTAGCGAGTTTGATGGCAATACTAACAGTCAACAAAGATTTGGATCAGTAGAATTAAAGGGAACTGTTTCTATTTGCAAGGGGATCACTAACTAGAGGAGGCTAATTAGATAAGAGGAAACAGTCCTACAAATTGGGATCTGGAAAGCACTGCCTGAAAGGAAAGTGTCAATAGGTTTAAAAAAACTTTGTAAAGAAAGTTAACATTATATTTGAATGGAAAATTAGTGCAGAGTTATAGAGAGAAAGCAGTAGAAGGAGACTAATTGAATAGGTCTTTCAAAGTGCTTGCACTGACACAATGGATTGAATGGCCATCTTCTACCCTGTTTGTGTTTCATAATGTTTATACATAAAAGTTGTTTTTGATGGATAAGCAATTAGAACATTAAACAATCTCCACGAAATAAGTAAAAAAAAATTGCTTTACGAAACTTCCACTGAAATGAACCTAGCAATGTTGGAAGCCTCAGAAGGCAGTGACAGACTGGCCTACAATATCTCCATCCTTGGTACCACAATCCAAATCCAATCCTATTGTCTCCTGTCCACTGCCCAAAACCGTATAAATGCCGTCGAAACAGTGACAAAGCACGTGGGATCCTTATGGTTAGTGCAACAAGGGTACTTTCATTCCATCAAATACAAGCTCGCAGACAAAAGAAAGGATCGCTGTGCCATTAGCTCCCTTTTTATTAGGTTCTCAAGTCAACTTGGTGACTTCTACCTGTCAGTGTCCTGATGTCCCATGCATACATTCATCAGTGCATTGCACACAAAGCTGTAGCGGTTGGCGGCATTGTCGCTAAGAATCTTCCCCAGCATGGAATAGTTGACATTATGAGCTGATGGGTTCTCGATGAAATCCAACATGAAGTCTGGATCCCACAATAAATTGGAGTTGGAGGGTTGCACATTGCTGTAAATGGTCTGCTTAACCTTTGAACAGGCGCTACTGAGAATAAGAAAACACATCTCGTTATATTCATGTTCCATGTAAGGCTAGTTCAACACTACATTTGGTACTGATACAACATACTTCCATGGACTATTCCACTGCCAGAAAATCATTGCACATCTTTGCCTTTTCAATCATGCAGCAGAAGAAGAGGGAAAAGAAAGAATGACTTAAGGAGATTTTGTACTGCCTTATGGTCAACTAAGTTCTTTAAAGAAACTCTGAATCCAGACATGGATAAGATATGGAGCAAGGAGGGGAAAACGGAAGTGTAGGAGAATAAATTTATTTTGGGAGGCAAGTCCAAAATGATTTAATAACTCTCCTACAATTGGACATGCATGAGACCTCATAATGGTGCATGCTTTTGGATGAACAAGAAAAAAAACTATAAGTCATCTTTCTGATTGCTAACTAGGATCTTTGGAGCCGCTGTGAAATTGTAAACCCAGGGTCTGTACAAAGTACATTTTCTCACGCTTGTGACTGGCCAGAGTATCACAATCCATCACAATTTCAGATGCTGGCTTGTCTCTTGTGATGGTTGGTTTTAAGAAGTAAGGTTGCGCTTTCAACCACAGGATGCTTGGAAAAGCCCTGGTTTCAAACCATGCCACTCAAAACAGACGCATGTGAACAATGCTGATGCCACACTAAAGTTATGGCTGCCTGAGATGTGGTGTGGGGCCAATCCAAACATTTCTGAAATTGAGTAATAACTTGAAAGTTCAGGACATCTACTTCTGTGTTGGTGAGGAACTTGATTACTTTAAACTTTAGTGATTGCGTAAAGTACTGATTTTGTGACAGTGCAGTTTGTCTCTTCTCACTTCAATGGAAATGAATTTGGATCTGATATACACCAGGCCCATATAACATCATCCATTTTTACCCATTATTCAAGGTGAACATTATTTCCCAAGCGCATTGCAAGCCCAACATTGTTATTCTCTCAGTACTTCTGGTTCACCTTCAGTTACTGGAAAAAAGAACAAAGAACAAAGAAAATTACAGCACAGGAACAGGTCCTTCAGCCCTTCATGCCTGTGCCGATCCAGATCCTCTATCTAAACCTGTCACCTATTTTCCAAGGATCTGTATCCCTCTGCTCCCTGCCCATTCATGTATCTGTCGAGATACATCGTTATCGTGCCCGCCTCTACCACCTCCACTGGCAACGTGTTCCAGGCACCAGGTAGTTAAGCTCTGTCCTTATCCATATTTCCATGTTTGGATTTGAATTTGTTTCCACATCAGTTTATTTCAGGATGTGGAGATGCTGGTTTTGGACTGGGACAACACCAGGACATAGTCCAGTGTGTGCACGTGGAGATAGGGTAGGGGGGAGAGGAGGAGAAGAAAGAGAGAGACAGAGGTTGTGTGTGGGGGAGAGAAAGAGTACGTGTGGGGTCAAGGACATTCGGCCTTGGATCGTAGGGTAAACATCCTACAAGGTGGACTTCAGGATACACAACAACGCACAGTCACCGAACAGAGGCTTATAGCTGAGATCAGTAGCCACGAGGGCGGCCTCATTTGGGATCTTGGGTTCATGTTGCACTACAGGTAACCACACACACACACACACACACACAAAATCTATGCAGTGAATTTCTATTTGCAGATACATTTTGTTTAGTTCAAAAATCACACAATTTATAGACAGTCAGACAATGTGGCGTTTTATAAATTCCTACTTTAGAAATAAGATCAGTCTGACTCCAAACCAAAACACAAACAGATTCTAAACAAGGCCTCACACCTAACATGCATTGTCTGACCTAAAATGTTGCCTCTTCTTTACACCGATAAAACCCTTAGTTCTCTCAGGACAGTGATTTAAAAGGAATTTGGGGATTTACATATACATATTAATCAATTAAAACCTTCTAACTGATTAAAGATTTAACAGTATCTCAGGTTTGTTTAATACATCCTGATAAGTGGTGTGACTCTTTGATCTTTTACTTATAAATTCTGTATCTGTTACTACTTCTCTCACTAACACCTGAAGGAGGAGAGAGGTTCCGAAAGCTTGAGTTTTCAAATAAACCTGTTGGACTATAACCTGGTGTTGAGTGATTTCTGACCTGAGTTTATTTCAGAACCACAGGCTGTTTCTCTTTTTGTCTACAACCTTGTCTACAAGGTTAACAATTCCCAAGATTGGGCACAGAATCATTGCATCTGATTTTGAAAGGCTGGAACAGCTATATATTAAGCATATATTGAAGCTATATAGTTCTGAATTTCTTCAGAAATTAGAATCCAAACTGGTATAACATGCATGCATATCCCTTCCGCTGAAAGTAGTGCTTAACTCATTGTGTGATGATTTGAATTTCAGCAAATAAGATTAAATGTTTTTGACAAATCGAGACACTGTTTGATTTGTAAGATAGAATTAAAGCAACACAACTTGCAACGTAGGTAGCCAATCATATTGCTTTCTGCTATTCTTTGATGCATCAGAATCTTTCTTGCAGATACTGGCAACCTCACAGTCAACCTTTTCCACAAAAGGAACCGAGATAGAGACAGGGAGGACTGGACAGCAAGTTAGCAACACTGGGAAGTGGACTGGGAGAGTAGACCTGTGAGAAAAAGGCTGCAGTGGTATTTGATAAAATCTGATGGCAGAGTGTCTCTTCAACCTGGCTTACCTGTCAGTGTCAGCGAGTGACATCACAGGAAAAGAGGTAGGTGATTAGTAGGTACTTCTATCATGTCTCTTTGGCCAAGTGGTTTAAACCATAAGACAATGTTACAGTTGAAAAGTAGTTAGGAAATTTACTTTTAATATATTTAATATTCAAAGTATTGCAATTAATTAGAGTAGTGATTGCAGGGTAGGTCATGTGTTGTAACTGCAGTAGGTGGGAGCCAGTGGAATCCAGTATGAACTATAGGGGTCACATCTGCAGCAAATGTTGGCTGCTCGAGGAACTTTACCTCAGAGGTGATGAGCTGGAGCCTGAGCTGTGGACTACTTCAAATCAGAGAGAGGAAGAGGTACCTGGCCACTGAGTTTAAGGAGATAATCACACCACTTTAGATTAATTACATCAAATTTGGTCCGTATTATGGGACAGAATGGTATGTCTGCGAGTGAGGCAGGTATTAGATTCCAGACTTCAGCTTTGGAGAAGTCTCAACTCACGTCCTTATTGAGCATGTCCAAGGATCTTGTTCCTCATGTGGATGAGAGCGCATACTGCAGGGAAGATGAATAAGTTGACTAAAACAGTATTACAAAGTAGGGGAGAAATGTGAAATGTAGTTGCAATAGGAGCTGACACAATTGGCCAAATAGATACTGTTCTCTGCAGTGAAGCCAGAATGTATCAAAGGCTGTGTTGCCTTCATGGTGCCAAAAGTTCAGGACTTCTCTTTTATGTTGGAGAGAAACTTGGATCAGGAGAGGATCAGCATAGATCAGTGGAGGTACCAAGGACAATAGGTAAGACTGAGAGGTTCTGCAAAGTGATCATTGCACACTGGGGCTAAATGTAACAGCAGAATGACAATGGTATTAATTTCAGAATTACTACCTCAGCCATGCGCAAACTGGCATACAGTAAATGCAATTAGAGAGGCACAAAGATTGGTGTGGGAGAAATGAGTTCTAATTCACTGGGTACTGGCAACTGCACTGGGGAATGAAAAAGATAATCTGTTGGGACGGACTTCATTTCAATCAGGCTGGGATCAGTGTCCTGGCAAAATGTGTAAGTAGGACTGTAGGAAAGGCTCCAAACCCCGTAATATTTGGGCTGTGGAGAGGGCTCAATTGAAGGGAACTTTAAAAAAATCAAAAAGAAATGGGGGAACAGAGGTGCAGGGTAGTGAAGAGGAGAACAACAATCGAAGTGTGACAGCAAGAAACAGAAATTATAAGCAGGAGAGTGCAGCAGAAACTATAATAACGGTTTCAAAAAGAAGTCCAAGCTTAAGACCGTTTACTTGAAGTGTACACAGTAATTATAACATGGTCGATGAGTTCACAGCACTAAACAGAAATATATGAACATAACTCGACGGTTATTGCAGAGAAGTGGCTGCCGATAATTGGGACTGAGAACTCAGTATTCAAGGGTTTTAAACCTTCCGGAAAAATAAATAAAAATGAAAAGGAGGTGGGGTAACATTGTTGATAAAGGACTGATGTGTGCTGATGAGGAGTGATATATAGGTGCTGAACATCATCATGTGGAGTCAGTCTGGGTGGAAATAAGAAAAAACAAGGGATACAAGATAAGAGATAACAAGGTGTAGAGCTGGATGAACACAGCAGGCCAAGCAGCATCAGAGGAGCAGAAGGGTCTAGGCCCGAAACGTCAGCTTTCCTGCTCCTATGATGCTGCTTGGCCTGCTGTGTTCATCCAGCTCTACACCTTGTTATCTCAGATTCTCCAGCATCTGCAGTTCCTACTACCTCGGATACAAGATAAGGTTGGGTGTCATCTATAAGCCCCCAAAGAGTTGCTTGATTGCAAGACAAATATAAATCGGGAAATCATGGAGGTGTACGGGAAGGGCAGTATAGTTACCATGAGTGATTTTAATCTGCATACTGGCTGGACAAATCAAATGGGGATGGGTAACATGGAAGAAAAATTTGTAGAGTGCATCAGCGATTGTTTCTAAGATCAGTATGTTGCACAACAGGCTATTTTAGATCCAATAATCAGTAATGAGGTAGGATTCATAATAGATCTTGTACTTAAAGGATCCTCTAGGGAGGAGACATCAGGGTAAGGTAGAATTTCAAATTCAGGTTGGGGTAGAGCACCACACATCTCTCAAATCATTGTCCTCAACTTAAATAACAGCAATTATAGAGGTATGAAGAAAGAGGTGTCCAAAGCAAACTGGGAAAGTAGGCAAAGGGGAAATTCTGTAGATGTGCAGTCGCAAATAATATATAACTCAGCAAAAAATTATTTCAGCCAAAAAGGACACCCCACTGAGAAGAATGGACCACCTGTGGTTAATAA